GTGAAAAATATCGAAACATTAACATAACAACGATTACGTACGTATGGATAGATTAGAGAGAGTGGGCAGTTATATTGTAATAATTCATCATTAATACGAGTACTAATCAATGAAAAATGCATGGATTCATGATATTCCTTTCTAGTAAAACAGGAAATTTATCGATCGATTGTATTTAAATCGCAACACGACGATGATATCACTTGTTCAAGTAATACCTCGTTTGTAAAAATAAATAAAATTAAATAAAAATAATTAAAGAAAACAATTAAATAAAAATAATTTAATTAAAATTTTATTTTTCAATACCAGTCACTACAATAAAGAAATTAAAACTTTCTTTTGATATTGTAAAAATTATTAGATGTAACAATCCAATAATTACTTTAATAATAAAAACTGTCAATCAATTATATATATATTTTTATACTATTTTAAACATATGTCAAAGGTCATAGATTCTTATTTCGTCTGCATATTCTATATTTACGATTATCGTTAAGCATAGAATAGGTCATAAATTTATTGAGTTCCAAAAAAAAAGATCATAAATTAATTAATTAAGGATAAAAATAACAAAGATTGTTAAGAGTAGAGAATATATCAGAAATTTATTATTGGAGAAGTTGGCACTTATAGGATCTGAAAAAATAAGAAAAGACGTTGGAATTTCTGAATTGATTTAAAAACGAGGAAATCAAATTAACGGAAATGTCAATTAATTATTAAAATTAATCTTAATAAATTGTAAATATCGCGAGTGCAAGGATATATGAGTGAGAATTTCTTCGCGAATATATCTCTAGAACACCGGTTCTTCTGCGAAAACTTGTTGACTCGGAAGGAAGACAAAGGATTCTCGCGAGTAAAAGGGGGAAGCAAAATTAGTTTGCGGCAACCGAGAACTTAGATCAAACCGTCAAACGCGAACTCGACGTAATCGAGCCCGCGTGCAATTAAAATCTCCGTAATTTGAGCCTCGAAGAAAAGCTCAACTTGTTCTTTTGCGAATCTAACGGCGAAGATGAGATTACGAGGAAAAGTCGAATTATCATCAATCAGCATTTATCATATTGTTCTAAATATATGAAAATAAAATGTAAAATATTTTTGTTATACACAAAAAGAGAAAGAGTCTCTGGATAGGGAAAGGAAAGAGTCTCTATCCAGAGACTCTTTCTCTTTTTGTGTATAACAAAAATATTTTACATTTTATTTTCATATATTTAGAACAATATGATAAATTTTAATTTTATATTTTGGAACAACATATATTTTACAAGAGGTATTATAAAATATTTAAATAAAGATATTCTCTATCCATTAAAATTAAATAAATTTTGATTTTCAAAATCAAATAAATCTTAATTTAAAGTTCTTAATAAAAAAGACAAAGAAATAAAAAAAAGAAACGACAGAGATTATATAATTCAGAAATAAAAAAAATCAATTCTCATTTTATTTAATATCCGATATTCGTTAATCGTCGTAACCCACGCACGTGCGATCGCACGTGTTCTATAATGACAACTGCAGCAGAGACTAAAAATTTTTCCCGGCCGTATCGTTTTTCCCCGATGCAGATACGGGTGAATACAAACGATCGAGAGAAAGAGAGAGACAGAAAGAGAGAGCACTGTACATGCGGGCCTTCTTTCCTTTCGTGTATTACATGTCTCTTGCATGCACGATAAAAACGCGTTAGTGCGTAATCGAACCCACGTCATTCCAAATGTAATGGCAAATAAACCTCTATAGACTTCCTGTAAATTAAATCGTAATCGCGCCGAAGAATAAAATTCCATTTCCTGCCGTGTTTTTTTTTTTTTTTTTTTTTTTTTTTTTTTCGAAATTTGTTGTGTTAATCGTGAAAATTCCGAGCAATTTTTACTTTCATCTCGAAGCAAAAAATTACGACATTATCACGTAATCAAAACGAAGATGGTAAGATATAATATATATTAATCGAAAAAAAAGATATATATATATATATATATATATATATATATATATGCGAAAAATTTTAGGAGATGATTCTTTGTCGAAAATTAAAGGAGGTTTTTCATATAAACATTAAAAAGTTTTAATAAAAAAATGAATAAGAGTTGCTAGTTTCATCCCTTATAACAATACGGGAGGCTGAAAAAATATTAATAAATAATCTTTTTACTAGTAGAAAATATCCATCTAATTTCACTTCTTTAACTTGTTCCAAATTTGAGAAAAAAATAAAAACCTAATTTTTACTCCCATTTTTGGAGGAGTGTAACTCCACAGGGGAAAGGATGTAAAAGTATACGTTTATATGAAGAACCCCCCTTAATTTTCGACAAAGAATCATCTAAAATTTTTCGCACTTATTAAGAAAAAAAAAAACATCCCGTATACATATAATATATATATTAAGATTAAAACATTTTCGACATTAATTAATATAATGCATCACCTCTGCATTTATTATGATAATATGAATTACTGATATTAATTAACTCGATCATATCAATATCGTATACCCTATTGTATTTTATTATCATATATACATATATTTAAATATAAAATTATACCGCGTGTATATACGATTTCTAAACTTGTGTGATTACTGTCGTACGACATCCCGAGACGATTAATAGGGTAATTAAAGGGGAGTAGAGGGGAAATGGAAGAAAACGAGCGTGAGGAAGAAATTAGGACGAGGCAGCGTATCATGACGATGTCACGAGGAAGTTGGAGTTATCAGTTACACGCGACATTGTAAACGTACGATGGGCGGCGGTCGCAGCCGCTGCTAATGGCGCACTATCGACATATCAATGCCGCGTTGCGGTGCGCGCATTAATAATCCACGTGATTACCATCGAGCAAACTCATCCCGGGCGCGCGCCATGACGTATTCATGGCGTTCATCGGCCGACCGTCCTCCCTCGCATCCGCGGATGGAAATCGTGGTTTTGATCCTCTCCGCCTGGTTTTCAATCGAGCAGAGCCAAAACTAACATCCCGCTAAATGATTCAAAATCCATGACCCAGAATCGCGAAATTAAAAGATAAGGATGGAGTGCTTCATGGTTTTCCCTGCCGGTCGTAATTCAGGATATCGGTTGCAAAAAAGGCACGAAGAAAAACATGGAATGACGTAAAAAGAGAGAGGGATGTGTGTATGAAAGATTGATGAGGCTGACATTAATTACTTAATAATGATGATCGTATGAAAATGCAATATTATGGATGCTGGTTGGCGATCACCCTTTTCGCCCTTAATGTCTCCTCGCGGTCGTTGATTTCCCCATTCGTGCCTGCGCAAGCTAATCGCGAGAGTCGCGCCTTAATTAGAAATTAGGCGGTCCTATTCCGAACTTTGACGCTGGGGCGTCCAGCTGAATTTTTCATGCGAACGAAATTAGAATCGATCGTCAGACGCGGCATTAAATCGGCGGGGAGGGGGAGGGGGAGGTCAGCAGAGCGAGAGCGGGAAGGGTAAAAAGATTCACCGATAGTGGTCTATCGATGGATATCCCGCAGTCGTGCAATTTTCGTCCCGATTATTTATTTGCCGTCAATTAATGTCAGCTCTTGTTGCGAGAAAATTTATCGATCCGTGCCCGTTGAATTTCGTTTATTAATTTCTTCATCTGTTTGTCTATTTATCGATGGAAGTGGATTTATGCGATACCGTTTATTCCCCTGGTTATCCGTTTGTTTAGTTATGGATTTACCTATTTATTTATTTATTCGTCTATTTACATGCTTTTATCGTAACTAGCCGACTAGTTGATTTATTTTTTGCGTGTTTACTATTATTTTATTTATCTGTCTATTTATTCATAGCAAAAGCTTTTTATTCAGGCAAAATCATTTCTGTTCGATATAATAGAAGAAGTATCTTATTATATTAAGCAACTCTGAAGGAACAGAACGAGCCGAAGCGAAAGGAAGAAAGAAGAAAGTGGGAAAATAGAAAAAGTTCCAAGGCAATCGCGAGGGCATAATAGTTGCTCAATTGCTAATAATGATTTACGTAATTACGAAGTTCGATATGAGACAAAGCGCGAACAGGAGTTCTGTCGGAAAAAGGCGGAAGAGAAGGAGAGATGAAGGAAAGAACCGAGTTATCGCTCTCGTTGCCTCGATCGAGATTAACTCTGAATGATCCCGTTCATTTAAGGACCTATCGATCGATCGATCGATCGATCATGCGAAAAGACTTGCGAGACAAGTAATTCCACAGGAATTTCGCGCCCCCCCCCCTCCCTCTGACTATCGCAATAAATTCCTGTTTCATCGTCGACTGGAAAACCAATAGTAATGTCTACTATTCGAAGAGTTCTTTCTGTGAGAAAATTTTCTTGTAAAATATAATTTTCTTGCGTCAATACGAGATATTTTTGACAGGCGCTCTCTTTTGTAAAAATAATCTCTTTTACAATAATTTTTTAATAATCCTTTTGAAAATTTTGACAAAGATTTGCGAAAATAGAGAGAAAGAGAGTGGGTCGTGTCGAAAAATGTAGATTTGTCGAACGGCAATTACTCGAGACAGCGAAAAAGTTTCCTCCCTCTGACAAATCCTCTCGCCGGAGGGGCGGTTCGAGGAGGAATCGTGACCGGCGCGAGTTTTAATTGCTCGGCGATTAAAAGTTTCCGCGTCGTTCGAGACACTCGTTTCGAGAGATCGAGCGTTGCGTGAGACAGCGACTCTTCCGCTATAGAGCCCAGTAAAATCTACAGAGAGCAGAGGAAGCACCTTTTTTTTTTTTTAATACACCGTAAACTCTCGCGAGACGAAAACACATTCCAAAGTTTGAGATTAAATCAGCTTAATCGATTAATTTCAAGTTACACTCGTTTTAATCGTGAAAAAATTTACGTATTAATATTCCAAGAGTCGAGAATCGTGGAAACTCGACGGGAATCGTTGGAAATACCTTGATCGGCGGAGGAGAATTCACCTGTATCAAGATTTATCTTTCGCGTGTCCTCCGCAAGTGCTTAAAAAAGGATACATCTCTTGGAAGAAGTCCAGATGTGGCGGCTGAAGGATGTCCAGCGCGGAAAGTACCTGCAAAAAGAAAAAAAACAGGAAGCGATTGAGTATCTTGTCCTTTGACTGGATGAGAGAGAGAGAGAGAGAGAAATGGCGCAATCGATCCCTCTTTCTCGTGCAAAAACGCACGGGAATCTAGCAGGCAGAAGCTGCGAGGGGAAGGACGACGATCTAGTCCTTGGGGAAATAAAACGCGGAAATTTCCGGTACGTTCACTATACGACTTACATGGAGAGAGAAAGAGAGGATCTGTCGAGTATTCGTTCAGATATATTTGATGTCAAACGGTATATAATTTGTTTACGAGAAAGCGTATAAAACAAGAATTCTATGTATATAAATAAATAAATAAATAAATAAATAAATATATATATATATATATATTTATTTATGATAATAATAAATAATGTAATTAAACAACAAATAAATATATATATATATATATATATTTATTTATTTATTTATTTATTTGTTGTTTAATTACATTATTTATTATTATCATAGTAATTATTTAATCAACTAATTTCAAAAAATAAATATGATATGTCAATATATATTCAGATATATTTAGATAATTATGTAATCTATAAAAATCTGAAAATCTAATTTTAATTTTATTAAAACAATAGACAAAAGATTTCATAGACTTTTCATAGCGAGCGAAATTATTATAATATCAAGAATATTTGATAATTATTATTCAATTATTACAATAATAAGTGCACTTGGTATATTTATTATTAAATAATATACTCAGATAATGATTATAAAATGTTTGAAAGCTAGAAATCCGATATCGATATTAAGAAATTGCGTCTTTTTAATGTATTTTTTATCTGCATTTCCGTTATATTTTCTTGTCTCTATTATGTTACAATGTTCACATCGATCATATTTGATAGTAACGCAATAAATAATACCACTTACGTTATCGTGTTTGAAGAAGCAAAGCATTTTCAGTTCCCTGAAGACTCGCTTGCTGCTTACGAGACTTTGAAAGACGTTCGGCAGTTTTTTTAAGGCTACTCTCCTGCCATCCCTTGGATCCGTGACAGCCCTGGAAATCACACAAAAATAATACAAAATTTAATATTTTTGCCTTTTATCTCATCCATAAAAAAACAAGACATATTTTATTTTCAAAAATAAAAAACTTGTGTTTCTATATATCGTGTGTTTATGTGTTTATACAAAAGAAATTATAAAATAGCCATCACCTAATTTTTATCATAGCTAATGAAAATATTTAAAAGGATCAATCTCGTTTTTACTTTTTCCCTTTTATCAAATTTCCTTTTTAGTTTATTTTTCCTTTTTATCTTACTATTACTTATCGTTGCTATTATTCCCTATTTTATTATGTTTTAAAAATATAAAATAAATGTTTAAAAAGATTGTGTAAAGAAATATCTGTAAGCATAAAACAAAAAGGAGCAAAAAAGCCACATGATGATTAAAACCATCTTGTATATTCCCTCTTAGGTTTACAATATATTATAGGTCTCTTTTCCGGATTAAGAAAAATCTTTCATTAGGGAAAAATGAGCGGCAGAGGAATCGATTTCAATTTTAATTTCGCGATCAAGAGGAAAGGGGAGAGAAGTTATTGGGGAATGATCGACTAAATAACGCCGGGAAGCTTGTATTGTGGAATAAATCTGGAAACACGAATGAGGGACCGCCTCCCCTCGTTAGTCTCTCTCTCAGTCTCTCCTAGGCTAGTTCCGAGAATAATTATTATCCCTGCAATTAGTCTGTTTACGGCTATGGGTTCGATTTCATTGTCGAGTGTTGTCGTTACCACAAACCGACGATTTCGATTTACGAGAATCAGAGAGAGAGAGAGAGAGAGAGAGAGAGAGAGAGAGAGAGAGAGAGAGGAGGGGGGGGGGGAGAACCCGATGCGCGGCTAAAATCCCATTTTCGGTCATCGCCCATGTGCCATATCGTCTGCCTAGACAGATAAAGTAATTCCTCGTTTTTGAACGAGGTGAGAGAGCAGGAAATAAAGGAGGAGGAGGAGGAAAATGGGTTTTCGATCCGCGACGATCGCATGATATATTGATATAAAACGTACATAACAGAGAGATATTTAGTTAAATGTAAGTACATTTATAAATACACAAATAAAAATATAACCTATATCATATTTATTTTTATCATAATTATCACTTGTGTAACAAGACAGACTTGTGTGACAAGAAACATCCTATAAGGATTTGGAAATTAAATGAGAAAACAAAATATACATTATATGAAATTAAAGTAAAATTGATTATATGAGAGAGGGAGAGAGAGAGAGATATTATTATACATATATTATCTAAATTAAAAACATTAACCATACAATATTAATAATTAATAAATAATAAATAATAAATGTATAAAAATTAATTGACAATAAAATATTAGGCTCATTTTATTGTCAATTAATTTTTATACGTTACTATAATTATATTCAAAACGATTTATTTATTTTCGATCGCTTTTGTCCGGTCTTATATAAGGTGAACGCGAAAACGACAAACCTCGTACTAATCGCGTCGCAATCGTTAGCTTCGTTATAGCTCGCTAAATCGATTCGTTCGCGGGAGACGGTCGACTCTCGCGACACCACGTGGCCTAAAAAAATAAACGAGAATAAATAAACGAAAAAAATAAACGAGACTGTCGATAAGCGGCCAAAACGGGCCCATTATCTCGAGTGTGTCGCCTCTTTGAGCGCCACTCACATGTATTTTCAACCAGTCGGATTCGTTCATTGCACCATCGTACAATTTCAATGATCCAATCAAAGAAGCAAAAAATTGTGGAAATTCTTGCATTACAACTTTCCAACTTATCCGACAAACGAAGGAAATACAATACATATATAGATAAATAGATCAATTTATTCGCTCTGAAAAAGTTGTTTTACAGAATGTCAATAAAATATAATTAAGAGCAAAAAGCGAAGTAAAGATATCTCTTAATAATAATAGTAAAAAAAAATAAAACAAAAAATATAAAGAGATTCGTAAATTATGATTGTTTACATTATATTGACAATGTTATTGTAATAATTTAATTTACTTCATTTATTTTATATTTTTTAAAATATAGAATATGCATGTGTCAGATTCAATGGATAAATTTAATTTTCAAAAATTACACGTGTATAAATTATTTTCGAATTATTTACAAAAGTGTAAATGCATAAACAATATTTTATATATATATATATATATATATATATATATATATATATAAATTAATTTAATTAAATTCTAATATTCTGATAAAATTTATAATTTTTGATTCAAATCAAAACATTGATTTAAATAAAAAAAAAAAAATTAAAATTTTAAGGAACAAGATAAAACCAGTAAAAATATTTCTCGAATAAATAATAAAATTAAAACATCTTCATTCATGAAGCATCTCTGAAATTTTGCGCGTATTTTCGAAAAATTGCGACGATCGTCGAGTATGTTTTCGCAATTCGATTCATCCGCGAAAATTAGCGTGCGAGGACGTTAATTACATGGTCGAGTTTCTTCGAGTCGTAGAATAAACAAAAGGAGAGGAAGAAGGGGAGGGAGGAAAAAAGAGGTGAACGAGCCGTCGCGAACCGACGAGAGATTAAGGTCGATCCACGAAGCCGAGCGAGTCACGAACGTAGAAAGGTACGACGACCTTCGAAAAGGGTCAACGCACCCATCCGCCGAGCGGTGCGCCGAGCGTAGTAAACGGAAGTGAAGTCACGAATTTCGGAGCGGAACGACCGTGAAATGACGCGACGCGCGGGTGGAACGGGGAGGAACGGGGGAAGGGAAGGTAACTCGCCCCCGGGGATCCACTGTCGCGGTTTAGGCTATGTTTATTCATTCGAAATCCGGCGACGAGCCGACGATGGGACACACACATGCACACGTGCAAACACACGCAATCGCCGGTGGGCTCCTCACCGGAAGTTCTAGGGGTTATTGTAGAAGCGAGTAGGTCTGCTGGAAGGTGAGAAACGAGATGCAAATATAGGACGTCTAATAACCACCGTGTATCTCGAAAGAAACTGTGCTAAGCTCGCGAATTACGGAGCACCTTGTATACAATGGATCGCTCCGAAAATAGAAAAGACGGAAAAAAGAAACAATGGTATCTCCTATATCGAAAATTAGCGAATGTATTTCGCAGATCCATAACGATTCAAAGATAGTGATCAATTTTCCTAGCTTCCTTATTATTTTATGAGTCTCTCTGTCTCTCTCTTGCATCATAAACGTGTCGAAATTCCCTTGAGGATATTGTTGATCGGTTTGATGGCCAATAACGAAACCAATGACTTTGGGGTCTGATTAGGGTGTTGGTTTTATCGGGGTGTCTCGTCACCTTGTCGGTGACAAATTTCTTGAGAGAGCTCTTTGTTAGAAAAGGTCGTCGAACGAAGAGTCTCGCGAGTGATTCACCTGCTGCCTGGGAATGTTAAAAGTATCATCGTCGTCGGCGTTTTTTTTTTGTTCATCGGAAACAAATAACGAATGATTATTTATCGCGCGATCTTTCGCAAACCAAGACGGTTATCGCGGGTGATAATATAGTTCTTTATCGCACGGACTGATCTTTGTTTTACGTTTATTGTAAGGAAGGGAAGAATAAAAAAAACAAACATTTTAATTTTATGTTTCCGTTTGAAGGCATTTCGATCTTCCCTGGATGTTACATTACATCCGCTAACGCGAATGCAATCCGGAAACACGTATAAAGGCCGAAACAATGGTGTGTTACGTGTATCAGTATCAGGTCGATTTTATTTTATCGGCCGTGACCTCTCTTATGCAAACAAATGAAAAATAAAATCACGCTTCGGTGCGCAATCAAAATAAATTAATTTGTTGAATGAAAATAAGAGAAAAGGGGAGAGAATTTTTTCGAATATTTCACTCTGTGGCGAATTTTATCCGTGGGATATTTTAAATGATATTAATGAAATTAAATATCACATGCATTTATGATACTGATATTTATATACGCGAATTTTTCCTGCGATATAAGCGTTGTATTCGATCATTGGGATTTTAAGAATAATTCGGTAAAAAAGAATGTATTAAAATATATATTAGAAATATACATACATATTTCATAAATAGTAAAAGTGCATATACTTTTTTTATTTTTTATTTTATATAATTCTATATTTTATTTATATTTTATATATTTATATAAATCTAATTTCACATTTTTTCTCGTGGTCTCTTTTTAATATAAAAATTATTTAATTTTGTTAATGAAAAATAATATTACAAATAAATAAAAAATAAAAAATAATTAAATATGAAATAATAAATAATTAAATAATTAAAATAATAAATAATAAAAAAAATTTTTTAATGAAAAATAAATAAAACAATAAATAATAATTAATATAACAAATAATTAAATAATTTTATTACAAATAATATTTGAAGGTAATTTTGTGATTTTTATTAAGAATAGAATAATTAATAAAATTAGAATAAAGTTTTTGCTTATGTATCCTATAATTTCTTATTAAAATTGCGATCAATCGAGGAGCATATGTCTTTTGAATTCAACAGAGGATTTCCGCGACGAAGAGAAAGCGTACAATTTTTGGGATATCCTGCATTTTGAAAGACGGCAGATGGGGCCATTCAAAACCGGGTTCGAATGTGATCTTTTCGCCTCGTGGCGAACGCGACATGACATTTCGATAAATTTGTACAAGATATATCTGAAGAAGATTTAATATCTCACAAAAAGTACAATTCTAATAATAATAATAAATCTTTAAACAAGAATACTTTAACATCTCGATTAATCTCTAAACCTCAGATTAAAATTCGATAAAAGAAACAATCCACTGATAATCCAATTGTCAAAGCTCTTTGTGCACTTGGAGAAACTTTTATTATAAAATAGTTTAAGATACGAGAGCTATCAGTGATATTTTCATGTTCGAGTTGCTGAAAAATCACTTGAAAATTCTCTTAAAACTATTCCAAGCCATGTATATGTATATGTATATGTATATGTATATGTACATGTATATGTATATGTAAT